TGGCCACCATCGATTTGAGATCGTCTTGATCAACCCCAAAGAGAAATCCTGTATTCTCTACTCGTCACCTCCCAATCTCCCTGTCCCCATCCACCTCACACCAGCCCAACTCCCTGGCAGCCACTAATCTACTTTCTCTCTCTCCAGCTCTGCCTATTCTGGACATTTCAGATAAATGGAATCACATACTGGCCTCTTGTGTCTGACTTCTTTGGTTTAGCACAATGGTTTCAAGGTTTATCGGCTGTGTATCATGTGTTAGTGCTCCACGATTCTGTCTTATGGCCAAATATTACCCTATTGTATGGATCTACCACATTTTGTCTATGCATTTGTCAAACAAACATCTGGGCTGCTTCCATCTTTTGACTGTCAAAGTGAATAGAGCTGCCGTGAACACCCGCGTCTAAGATCTTGTGTGCACCCGTATTTTCATTTCCTCTGGGCACGGAGCCCCAGGTGGATCTGCTGCGGCAAATGCGAACTCCGTGCTTAACTCCCCTAGAGGTCGTTTTCCTTATCACCATGGAATCCTATGGCTCGGTCCTCTGTCCTCCCAGCCTCTGGAGTCCCCAGGCCAAGGCTCATCCCCCAGACTCACCCGTGAGGGGCAGGGGGCTGGACAGGTGGACCAGGGCGATATCATTGCTGTTTTCCTCACTGTTGGGGTCTCGAAAGGGGAGATAGCCCCCGTGGTAGACTACTGCCTGCACCCCCAGCTGCAGGCCATGGGGTGAGGCCTGGGCCACAGCGCCGGCAAACACTCGCCATCGAGACAGGACCCGGTTCCGCCTACCAGGGAATAGGAGAGGAGGGTGGCAGCTTCCCCGGGCGCAGCCTCTCCCAGCTCACCTCTCCCCTGCCTCTCCCACTCAGGGCTGTGGGGGACACTCACTCAGGGAAGCAGTGGGCGGCTGTCAGCACCCAGTCTCCGGAGAGCAGGGACCCCCCACACAGGTGTGCTCCATCGTAACGGAGACTGACTTGCCACGGCCACCTGCCCAGGCTGGTGTCTTGGCCTCCCACGATGCGATCCACAGGCAGCTTCCTACGGCCACAGTCTGTGGAAGAGGCAGATCAGGGGCAGTGGGAGGGCCTGGAACCTTCAGGACACAGCCCCATCCCTGGGGACCTATAGGAACATGGCCCTGCTTTGGGGGCCTGAGGGGACACGGACCTGCTACCCTGGAGGAGTCAGAGGACACAGCTCCACCCTCATAGGATCTAAGAAAATATGGCCAGTGTGGGGGTAGGGGGTGTCTGATGGGACGAGACCCTGACCTGAGGGTTCTGCGGAACATGGGCCCACCTTAAGAGAGTAAGGAGACATAGTCCCATCCCTGGGACCCTATGGGGACAAGGCCATGCCTCCCTAGGGGAGTCCGAGAGGACCCAGCTCCATCCTTGTAGGGTAAGGGGCTATGGCTGGTGTGTGTTGGGTGGGTGTGTGGGGGAGGTGTCCGATGGGACATAGCCCTGCCCTGGGGGGGTCTCAGGCAGAGGGTACCGAGTAGCAGGGACTCACCTTGGCAGACGGTAGCCAGGAAACGGCCCCTGGGACAGTCACTGTGACAGAAAGGGGCAGAGGTGGAAACAAAAGGGGAGGCCAGTTCAGGCAGGAGAAAGGGCCCCCGAGGGCGGGCAGGAGGGGCGCCCGGGCCCCGCAGTCCTCCTCACCACACAGAGATGACCTCAAGCAGCCTCCGGGCCAGCGGCAGCCTCCCCTCGTCCACGCAGAAGAAGCCCGACGTGCCGTTGGCACCCGCCGTCCGCACGTCCAGCTCCGAGTGGCCCAGGGCCCTGGGCAGGCAGGGGTCAGGCCTGCTCCTCCCGCCCCCCCGGGCCACCCGGTACCTGAGGAAGCCCATCTCCTCGCAGCCCAGGCCCGCCACCCTGGCGTTGGAGCGCGAGGAACACAGCAGCCGCCACGTGCCCTCCGTGTCGTCGAACACCATGAGCCGGGCGTCGGCCGGGCTGACCTGCACTGCAGGGCGACAGGACGGCCGCCTGGGTCACCTCCCCGCCGCGCCCCACCCCCCAGCCCGGGCCCCGCGGAGCTCCAGGCCTGAATCTCCGCGGGGGGCCGATAGGAGCTGGGGCGCGCCTGCGGGCGGGGAACCTGGGGACCTTCCTGTCGCCTCCCTGCTCCCTAAGCTGGCCGCGCATGCGCCACACGTCTGGCCCTTTGCTCGGACATCAGCTAGGACATCGGACATCGGGGAAGAGGGAAGCGGTTTCAACCACGCTCCCAGGAGAATGGCGTGTGAGGCTGGAGCTGCTGGGGGCCGTCTTTGCCCCCAATGTGGGGGAAAAATAAGCCAACGTGGAGGAAAGCCAAGAGATGTCTGACCCTTGATGGAGCCAGACGGGAAAGACCCCCAGAATGGTTGGATAAGTAAGTGAATTGTTCCCCTTGTTGTTTAACCAGTTTTTCTCCTTTTGTCTTGTGCAGCCTGAAGACCCTTGACTAACACCTCAGAGGGCCAAAATATTTAGATACCCTATAGTCTTCAAAAAAGACAGAAAAAAAGAAAGAGGAAAAAAAAGAAAGAAAAGCTATCTTTTCTGCAGGACTTGTCCAAGCCTTGAATATATTAAAGTGCAATTTTCCAAGCTGACAATGTAGTATTCATTCATTCATTGGCTCACTCATTCATTCATTCACCCGATAATAAGCGTTAACTGGACGTATACTCCATACGCAGCCCTGTTGGGGGGTGATGCTGGAGGCATAAAGATGACCAAGACAGCCCTGGGCTGGGCCCTCACCAAACCAAAGTCTAGGATTGGGGGAGACAGACAGCAATAAAAAAAGTCACTCAACCAAGCACGTCATCACAAACTGTGAGAAGAGATGGGATGAAGATATAAGAAGGCTGGAGAGAGTGCATGAGGGATTCCTCGTGTCTGGGGCTGGTTGTGTTGAGAACCGCCCATCCTCTTAGCTCCTCCCAGGCTGCTCCCCACGCATGGCCAGAGGACCGTCTTCCACACCTAAGCCAGGTCACAGCCCTCAGGCCTGTTTATTTACATTTACCACTCAGGACGTGCTAGGCTCTATTTGGGGCAATGAACAAATCGCCACGGCAATAAACAGATCAGACAAAACCCCTGCTCTGTGGAACTCCAGGACCAGTAGGTGAAATGGGCAACGAAAGGGACAAGTAAGCAAAATAGACGGTGTGTCACAAAATAAGGAGCCAAGGAGACAAATCCAGCTTGACTGAGGCAGGGGCATACTGGCGTGTGGGGAGAACTTGCCATTTCCCGCAGGAGGGCAGGGAAAGCTCTTCTGAGAAGGTGGGGTGTGAACATAGATCTGAAGGAGGGGAGAGAGTCGAGAGAGTCGTGAAGGTAGGTGAAGGAACAGAGAACTAGGCCACAGGAACAGCAAGGGCAGAGATCCCAAGGCTGGTGGAGGTGGGGGCGGGGGTGGGGGAGGAACCGCAAGGAGGCTGGAGCAGAGTGAGCGAGGGGCAGATGAGCTGGGAGGAAGGCCAGGTCCACGCGAGGACTTGGCTTCTCCCGGGAGAGAGGTGCAGCCAGGGGAGGCTCTGAGCCAGCAGCGCCCTGACCCGATTGGGGGGTTCACAGGCTCCCTCTGGCTGCGGGCCAGGGGCAGACTGTAGGGGACGCCACAGGAGCAGGGAGCCCAGGGAGGGGCTGCTGCGGAGTCCAGGCTGGGGAGGATGGAGACCGGGGCCAGGGCGGGGGCAGAAGGGGGAGAAGAGTTTAGATTCTGGAGAGATTTTGTGGGTCAAGCTGACAGACTGCATGTGGCTGTGAAGGAAAGAGAGGGGTCATGGACAACTCTGGAGTGTCTGGCCTGAGCCGTAGAAGGATGCAGCTGCCATTGACCAGGATGGGGCAGGGCGCAGGGGGAGCAGGTTTGGGGACAGGCCAGCTGTGACCCCCTTGGTCCTCCTGCATTGCTGGCGCCCTAGAGCACATTCTAGGAAACCAGATCTGGGGCAAACTCAGTTTGGCCTCCCCCGAGCTGAGGGGTCTTCCCCTCGCCGCCTGATCCGGACAAGGGACGCAGGAGTTCTAGACCCAGTTCTAGAGGACCCTGTCTTCTGAGAACCTGCCGTATGCCCAGCACTATGCCTCACGTTCTCCCTGCCCACCAACAGCACGGCCTCGCCACACCACCCCAAGGCCACAAAGATCATCCCCATTCTGATCAGAGGAGGAGGCTGAAGCTTGGAGAGGTGGGGTGCCTTGCCCAACATCACCAAGTGAGTGAGAAGCAGAGACGACTTGCATTCAGGCCTGCGTGACTCCAGACCCCAAGCTCTGCATGTTGGCCCGGACAGCCTGTCCAGTGACTTCCTTACCCACAGTGATGGCTTCCTGGCTGCCTTGGCCCCTGCTCTGGGGTGGGGGCAGGCGATGCCTGGCACCCCTGCGGATGGCACCCACCACCCTGAGTTCCAAGACCAAGACTTGGGGTTTGAAACACCAGCTGGGGGTAAAAAGCTTCCAAGTATTCCAGATACGGTAAGGTTTTAGGGGGAAAAAAAGGATCACTTTATGGATATGTGTTGGGGGAGGGAGAGGGAGGGAATATCAAATGCCCCCTCCGATTATTTTTAAAGCCACGTTCTGTGCCACTGTTTCTCACTTTTCGACTCTTCATTCTTGTTGGTATTCTTCGCAAAAAAAGAAAAGAAAAGAAAATGTGTTCTGGGTCATCTGGTTTTGCTTACTGAATTGTCTGATATATTTAGAGGTGTGAAAATCCCAGGAAAATGAGGTGGAGATGTAGTTTGGGGGTTGTTTTCATTTGTTTTGCAATTTCCCATCATTTTTGGAAAACCCAAGTATAAGTGAAGGGCAGGAGTGCTGGCGTTGGCCAAGTATAAGTGAAGGGCAGGAGTGCTGGCCGTAGGTACTTTCCAGCTGGAGGTCAAGGGCAAGTCAGTTCATCTCGGCGACTTGTCTTGTGCATTAAGCAAAGACCTCCTGAGTACCCACCATGTGCAGGACACCGTCTGGGGCAGCAAACCCAGGGCCCCTGCCCTCCTGAAATTCCCCAGAAGTCAAGTGTGAGGAGAATTTTACCCTGGGCAATAGGCATGGCCGTGGGGTGGGGGGAGCATGGAGCCTAGGGGTGCAGGAAGGAAGGCCTTGCTCAGCAAAGTTAAAGCCTGAAGGTGAGACCCCAAAGCCACATTTACCAAGTGGACTGCATCATCTCTCCTTCTTCCCCGTGGTCCCCTAGCTTATGATTAAGGAGGTTGGGACCCAGGGCAGGACGGGTCTGAGGCCCCAGAACTCAGCAGAACCTCGAAACTGCTTCTAGGTGTGAGCAGGCAAGAGGTGGTAAGCCAAGACGGTGGGGCCAGGAGGGCCCTTCAAGGGCATGAGAATGGCCCATAGGCTGGACGCTGGAGAGCGCCAGAAGCAAGCATGAGGTGAGGGCGGAAAAGGGGTCTGCCCCCTAGGAGCCCTGGAGCCTGCAGGGGGTTGAGACTTTAGCCCAGTGGCAGTGGGGAGCTATGGAGCCACGGAGCTATGGAGCGGCTTCTGGGACATGATCCCTCTGGCCTGCCGCTTCTTCAGTGTGTGGTCTTGGGCAAGTCAGTTCACTTCCCTGGGCCTCAGTGTCCCCCATCTGCAAAAGCGGGGCAATGGTAATAGGTCCAAGGTTACAGCGCGGGTGCAGCAGATGGTAGCCGTCACTACTGCGAGTCGCTTGGCTGTTTCTCGAGAAACAGCACAGGATAGTAATTCTGCACTGAGCAGATCTAGACTGCCTGGGTTCGAATCCCAGAGCTGCCGCTTCCTAGCTCTGAGACCTGCGGCCAAGTCACTGGACCTTTCTGCGCCTCGGTCTCCCCATATTAAAATGGGCTTTTGTGAGGGTTTAAAGAATTGAAACCATAAAGCCCCGAGGCCTACACCTGGTACCTGTAAATGCTCACTAAGTGCTGGCATGGTGACCAACGCTGATGTAGGCTTTCCTTGTCCGGATTTTCATTTCTTCTCTTAGCATGAGCTGAGTCCTTTATGGAATTAGATGAGGCTCCCGGGAGTGAAAAATACATCCCATCACCCAACTTCCCCTTTCTTCCTGCTGTGCTGGGCCATGGAACGGCAGCTGGGGGCTGGCACCCGGGAGAATTCATCCATTCATTCCACATTTAGTTTCCACATCTATTATTAGTGTAGCCGTTCATTCTCAGCTGCCTGCAGACCCAGCTCTGCCAGGCCGGTCTGGGAGCTATTCCTGGCCTCATCATCTCCCAGCTGTGTGTCCTCTCTGGTCTCACTTTCCACATCTGTAAATGGGGATCATAGCAGCAGTACCCCCCTCCACCCCCCCAGAGAATGAGAAGGGGTCGCTAAATTCATATAGCACCTCACAAACGGGCTCTGACCATGCCTCGTAGTAAAGAGACACATTTTTACATTTTATGATGCAGCCCTGAACTTGTGCTTTCTGGAGCAAATCACTGCATTGCTCTGAGCCTCAGTTTCCCCATCTGTAAAGATGGAGAGAATAACAGCACGGCTCTCATGGAACCAAAAGGAAAGATTAACAAAACTTTCCCGTGCTGAGAGAGATGCGCTGTGGTCTTTTCTAATCTAATCTCTTTCATGCTTTTTATTTTTTAAAAGATTTTATTTATTTATTTGAGAGAGAGAATGAGAGAAAGCACGAGCAGGGGGAGTAGCAGAGGGAAAGGGAGAAGCAGGCTCCCCGCTGAGCAAGGAGCCCGATACGGGGCTCGATCCCAGGACCCCGAGATCGTGACCTGAGCCCAAGGCAGACACTTAATCGACTGAGCCACCCAGGCGCCCCTCTCTTTCGTGCTTTTTAAAATGTGGTTTCCGACTCCCTAATTTTATTTCATGAGGCACTAACAGGTAACACATTGAGAGTCTGGAAACCATAAGGCAAGGTGGAGTGCTCAGAATGGCACCCTGTCCCAAGCAGGTGTTCAATCTGAGTGCTATCAGCATTTCTGCACATGCTCACGCAGTCACTCGGAAATTTTTCCTTGAGCTCCCACCAGGGACAGGTTTCCTCCGGGGCTCCCCAGGGGGTCCCGGCCTGCTTTACTCACCCGGATACAGCGGCTCCTGATCACTCTTGAGTAGAAAGGTCACTGCAGAGAAGGCAGAGGTGAGGGCAGGCAGGCAAGGGGCTGCGGGGCAGGGCAGGGCAGGGGAGGGGAGAGACGCAGGGACCGCTCTCACCAATGGCCCAGGACGCTGCCCCGATGCCTGTCAGGAGCAGCAGGGTCCCCGCTGTGAGAGCTGCCACCTTGGGTCCGGAACAGCATGGCACAGTCCGGCCACCTGCAACAGACACCATGCTGGGGCCACTGCCAGGCCGGTCCTCCTCGCGGCAGGGTCTGGGCACGGGGCCAGCTCTGCCCTGCCCGCCCCCCTCGCCGGCTGCCATGCCCTGGGTCCGCGCCCTCCCCTACAGGTGTCCTGCTCCCCCCACCCCAGCCTTCCAGCTGGGAAGGGGTGTGGCTGGGACCGCTGCCACCATCCCCGCCCTCCTGGCACTTGCGGGCTCTCTCCTCCCCAGTGACACTGCACTTTGCTATCTCCTTCTTCTCTTGAACCTCTCACCTCTGCTCCCTCTCTCAGAACTTCTTGGAGCCTCTTGGGCGCTGCGACCCCTGACCTCTGCCCTCTTGGCAGCTCACTTCCCTGCTCTTTGGCATGTCCTCACTGCTTCATCCCTCTCTGCCCTCCCAGCCCCTCTGTCCCTGGGCATCTCCCCAAATCAGCCCTCTCCCGCAGGACCCTCTGGAGGTTCAGAACCTAAGTTTGAAAAGTTGCCAGCCTCACTTAATAATATTGGCCTTACCCCTCCCGGCCCTGGGACCTTGGGTAGGTGGCCTCACCTCTTTGAACCTCAGCTTTCCTGTCTGTTTAATGGTCACCCACCCAGCACTCACCTCTAAAAACAATATTTTAAAGTTCTCTTACATCATAGTAGCTGAACTCTTATCACAGGCTTGTTCTCCCAAGCACTGTCCTCGTTTGGGGGAGGATTCCCATTTTTCGGGCAGGGAACACTAAGGCTCAGAGAAGTGGAGTGACATGTGCGTGGGGACTCAGCCAGTGGGAGGCAGTGCTGAGTCCTGGACCCCGGGGGGCACATGGGGTGCTGGGGCCCAAGCGTCTAAGTACGAAGCCACTCCCTCTCCCTGAGCCATAATGCCTGGCAGAGAGCAAGTTCTCAACAAATGCTTTTATATCGTTAGAGCTGTGTGTTCCTGGACAATACCCTTCCCCTCTCTGGGCCTGTTTGCTCCTTGGTAAAAAGAGCTTTGTTCATTCATTGTCCTGCTGAGCATCCACTGTACTTGGCACCATTCTAGGCTCAGGAGACACATTCCAAGACAGATGAGATGCTGGCTCTCATGGGGCTCACATTCTCATATGTGTAAGGTTGAGGGGAAAACATAAACAATGAACAAACTTGATCATTCCCAGATAGTGGCAAAGTCTATGAAGAAAATAATGCAGGTCGGGGGGGCGGGTGGCTTCTGGAGTGGGGTGCTGAGGGAAGGCCACCCCAAGAAGTGACCTTTGAGCTGAGACCTGAAGGCTGAAACCATCCACGCAAAGATCTTAAGGAAGAGCCCTCTGGGCAGAGGGGACAGCACAGGGAAAGGCCTTGAGGCAAGAATAAGCATGATCTGTTCGAGAGAGAGACCACAGATATGGCCAGGATGGCATGAGTTTGGGGAAGGCAGGGACCTAGGCTGAGAGCAGCTAGGGAGGCCGCGTGGCCTGAGGGGAAAGGGGTTTTTATTCCCAGTGCAACAGGGGCCCTGGGAATTAAAAGCCAACCCCTTCGCTAGGGATTGTGGGATGGCCTCTGCAGGACATCTCCAGGGTGGCAGGAGTCCCAGCTCCCCCACCTGTATCGCAGTCTACAGCTGGCGGGCACAGGGCCAGACCAGCACCCAGAATGGAGCAGGGCATCGTCCGGGATCTTCCTGGGACGGTCATTGTCTGGGTGTCTTAAGAATTTGAGAGCCCAGCAGTTCCCTTCAAGGCAAGAGCAAACAAATACACCCTCCCTCCAAAGAGGCCGCAGGGGGCCAGGCCAGCCCTGGCCTCCCGCCAGCCCGCCAGCTCTGTTCCCAGCCGTCTTCCTGGTGCCGGTGGGAGGTCTTGGCTCCTGCAGCCATGAGGCCGAGAGGCCGGTCCTGGTCCCTTTGTTCTCAGGGGCGCCTATCAGGGCTTGGGGCCACTTCGAGCCCAGCCCAGGGGCTTTGGTGCGTCTACTGGGGTGGCAAGCATTGAAGGACCTCCTCCCGTGCCCTCCTTCCACGCCTCAAGCGGGTGCCCTTGGTAGGACAGGAAGTGTCCTTACTCTGGGTCCTCCCAGTGTGAGGGGCACCGTCACTGCACGTCTTTCCTGAGGCAGGAAGCGTCCTCACTCTGGGTGTGAGGCAGCAGCCTTGCCGGGATTCCTGGCTTCTCCCTGGGGCGCTGCTCTCTGCTCCTCAAGGGCGCCAAGGGCCGCCCTCACCTTGGGTCTTCGGCCCCCACCCTCTGGCAGCTAAACTCTCACAGGGGACATCTGTGGCTCCTTGTCTCTGAAACTCGGCTCAGTCAGCAGCTTGTGTCTCAGCCCTCGGCGTCCCCAACTCCAACTTCCTGAATGAAAGGCTCTCCTTTGGACTCTGAGACACCGCATGCGTCCGATTTTCCTTCCACTTCTCCAACAGGGGCTTTCTCCATCTGCTGACCTCGTCCCGCTCCCTGAAACCTGGAGTTCACAGGGTACGACGTGGCCTCCTCCCCCTCATGCCCCCTGCTTCCAAGTCTGTCTCACACACCTCCACAGCCTCAGTTTCCCTTTTCTGTCCTACAGCCTTGTAGATGCCTCCCCCTGGGACCTCTGGGTCCTTCACACCCCCCAGGTCCTATATCGGCTTCAACGTCCTCCCCAATCCCCAGGTCCCGTCTCAGAGGCCCTCATCCTCAGGACTGTTCCTCATCTGCAGGACACCTCCCTCCCCACACAGCTTGCAGGCCTCCTGAGCACCTCCTCTCCACCCTCCCCTTCCCTGCACCCAGCCCCACCCAAGCCTGGGCTCAACCTGCCCTCTGGCGCAGCCTCCACATGGAAGCTTGAGGATCATCCTAAGCACCAAATCCACCCTGTCCCTTCTTTACCTAGAATCCTTCATGACTCCCCAGTGTCCCCAAGACAGAGTCTAAGACCCTCAGCCCTGTGGTGCCAGGCTTTCTAGGATATAAGCATGGCCATTAGAGATTTGGGAGTCGAACCTATGTTTCCCCAAACTCCCAGACAGCCTTATGGGTCATTACCAGACCCCTGACAGAGCTTCCGGCAAGCAACCAAACCCACAGAACTTGTAAAAACACAAGTCAGAATAAGAGAAACAAAGAATGACCACCAGCGCCATCTCGTGGAGAGACCCAGCACTGCCGGGGCATCCGCCGGCCCATCACCAAAAACAGTCCTGAGAGACGAGGCTCCGGCTCGCTCACCTCATCCCTTTCCCGACTCCACTTCCGACACGGCCTCCAGAAATACCCGAGCTCTCCATGTGCCACTGCAGGCCTGGCAGCTCGTCAGCCCCTGCCTCTGTCCGTGCTCTCCCTCTGCCGGGCACCCCCTACCTCTTCCGACTCACCCTGCGCGTCAGCCCAGCCCGTATCACCTCCTCCAATTCTGAGTCCCCAGGGAGCACCAGGCACCTTGCCTTGGGCACACTTGGAAGTTAACACAACCGGCTCAGACTCGCGCGCCTAGCCCTGGCCTGCACTTTCCTTACAGCCTAGCCCCCGGTGTTAGGAAGGAAGGTATCATTATCATCATCCCCGGTTTGCAGATGAGGAAAGAGGGCCCAGAGAGGCGCAGCCAGCTCCCCGGGGTCACCCAGCAAGTAAGCACGGCACCAGAACTATTCGGCGTCTGGGTCCAGGTCCTGCCACAGGACCAGGTCGAGCTGCCTGGGGACGCACTGGAGCCCACTCTGCCTCAGTGCTCTCTGTCCCCAGACCATCTCTGGCCATCCTTCCGGGCACGATCTGCTTTTCTCCCGGGGTCATTCACGCATGGGCCCGGGCCCTGGAGACTCCTGTCAGTCAGCTCCAGGAGGAACATCGTCCCTCAGGGTCCGGGCTCTGCCAGCCACCTGCTCAACAAGGGCACAGTGTCCCCCGTCCTGAGCCACCCAGAGCCTGGGTTTGCTCTGGGCCCTAGCTGAATGGTTTGGGATATGATTTGCTAACTGCTGAGAGCCCAGGAGGCCAGTGATCCACGCGGCTCATTTCAGCCAACACAACCAGCACCCCCTAATTCTCATGCCCTTTAAATCCTCACGCCACCCTGTGAGGGGCGCATTCACCCCAGCTCCATTTTCCAGATGGACACTGAGGCCCAGAGAGGGTAAGCCACTTGCCCAGGGCTTCCCAGCTCGAAAGGGCTATCACCTGGAACTGAAGCCCTGCTAGCCTGCTTCCAGGAAGAAGAGAGGGAGCCAGCCTCCGCTGGAGAGGGCAGGGAGGAAAGGCTGCCCCCTGCTCGGGCCCCTCCAGCTGGCTCCCACGTGTGGCGGAGGTTGAGAGGGAGGCAGGCTGTCTGGAGCCCCAGCCAGGGCCTGCCAAGGGCCCCTCAGGGCCAGCCACTCAGGCGGGCGCTAGCTCCCATCATTCCTGGAACGGTTCCTCTGGGTTCTCTCCCCTCTCCATCCATCCCGGCCGAGTCCAAAGTCCTCCCTCTGTTCTTTTGCCCACAGTGCAAAGAGGTGGGAGGAATGTCTGGAATTGGTGGGGTTCTTGGGTCCCTGGGACACCGGGCTGGCCGGCCTCGGTCATATCTGGTTCATGGCCTGTGTCTCACACGCTAAGCCCCACACTGATGCCTCGTGTGGGTTCCATGCTCCCGGCAACCCCTGTGTGTGGCTAGGCAGGTAGCCCGAGGATCTGTGCTTGACCCGGGGCCGGGGGGGGGGGGCGGAGGGGAATGGATCCCAGAGAAATGATGTCACTCGTACAAGAGAACACGGCTAAAAAGTGGCGGAAGCAGATTTGAATACAGGCCTGTGCATTCAGCTCCAGAGTCTGAGTCCATAACCGTGAGAGCTGGTCTTCCCACCTTAGCCCCAAGTGGGGGGCAGGCCCAGGGTTAGCTGAGAAATCACTGGGGTGTGAGGGGAAACTGAGGCAAGAGCCAGGAAGGTCATACGGGGTAGCAGGAAGGCAGGTGGTAGCACTGCCCCACAGAAAATTTGGTTAATAGTTAATCAGGTGGAGGAGACTTCAGAAGGGGGTGGGGGTGGGCCCAGGAGGGGTGCCAGAGAGAGGGGGCTCTGAGGGGGCGGAGGGTTGAGAGCAGAGCACAGAGGGAGGGGCGCCAGGCAGAGCCAAAGTCAGGACTCAAAGAAAAGGGGACTCACCCTCCTTCTCCGCCATGTCACGGCCTCTTGTTAATGATTCCCCGGCTGACCTCCTGGGCCAGGGTGGGACCTGTGGGGAGATGAACAGAGAGGCAGGGCCTGGGGGAGCCGAACCCAGCCCCTGTGCCCCCAGTCCCAGGCGCCCATCCAGGGAGGCTGGACGGACTGGGCCCTGGCCAGAGCACACCGTGATCACAGACGCAGATCAGGCTGGGTTCAAGGATGGGGTCAGTGTCTGACCAGCAACCAGGGGATGCCTGGATTTGCACCGTTGGGGGCCCCTTTCCTGGGCCTGGGGGAGGAGGGGACCGAGGGTCTGAACACCTGGCTCTGAGGGAGTAGAGAGACCTGAGAGCCTGAACTCCTGGGTCCTGGGGAAAAAGGGATTTGGGGGCTCAGAACTCCTGGGTATGTGGGAGGAGGGGCGTAAGGGCCCAGAGTCTTGGGCCTGAGGGAAGAGGAGACCCAGGGCCCAATCTCTGGATCTGAGCAACAGGCGGCTGGAGCTCTGAGTTCCTTGGAGAGACGTCTGAGAGCCCACTCTTGGGGCCCCCGGGAAGCCCACTGTTGGGAGGTGGGCATTCGGTTGGTGTGGGCACGAGGGCACCCATGCCCGGGCCCAGAACTGAGGGCCCCGGTCCTTACCCTGGGGTCCGACAGGTGGGGGCGGAGCTGAGAGATGGTGCCCTCTTCGGGTCAGTCTCCAGGCCTGGGCAGGAGCATGGTGGCCCCGCAGCAGCGGTGGCCCGGAGGCGGAGGCAGCGGCGTGGGGCCGGCTAGGCCTGGCGGCCTCACCTGAGGCGGAGGGGGCGGGGCCGGAGGCGGGGGAAGGGGCGTGGAGGGGCAGGGCAAACGGATTGGCAGCGCGGGCGGCCACCTGGCTGGTGGGGCGGGGTTTGCAAGGGCCGGAGCTGGCCGGCCCAAGCAACCTGCGGAGCCTGCCTCCGGCCTGGAGGGGGCCCAGGTGTGCCAGTCGGAGGGGAGGCGGGAGCAGGGAGAGGTTTGGCCTGAAGGCAGGGGCTCTGAGCAGACAGAGCAGGCTGGGGCGGGGTGCTTACGAGGACTGAAGGGTGGGCCTTTGAATTGGAGGGAGCCAGATAGAGGGCTCCAGCTGCCCCAAGCCCACCCTGCCCCTGCCACTTCTTCTGCCTCCCGCCCAGCCCCTGCCTTACCCCCACCTGGCCCCAGCTCAGGCCTAACTCCCTCCCTATCCACCCCTGTCCCTTCTAGCTCACCCCCCACCCCCCCCCGGCCCCCTGCCTGAACCCAGGCCTACCACTGCCCCCCGCTATTTCCCGTCCCCAAGTCCAGCTCCTGAACAAGGCAGTCCTGGTCCCTGCCCCGGCCCTGGCCCCAGACCGCCCCCAACTCCTGCCCCAGCCTCTGCCCCAGCCCCCTCCCCCCAGCTGCCTTCCTACAAGTCACGGGGGCTGGTTTGCTTTGGCAGCCTCTCTGCTGCCTGCAGCCGTGACCTCTGGAGCCTGGAAGTCCTGCACCGGGTGGGGGGATGGGGGGCTTGGCCCGGAAAAGGCAGCACCGAGTGCTGAGGTCCAGGCCAAGTGGCCGGAAGTGTCCACAGGCAGATACACACTGTCCCGCCAGCAGCCAAGAGTGATCCACGTCAGACCCCAGGGCCAGATAAACACCCAGACACACAAGGGTCACCAGCAGCCACCTGCTAGTGGACAGCCATGCTCCCAAACCCAGACCGCGGCTTTCATCCCACACGCTCGGCCCCACGCAGAGCCACAGTCTCCCACAAGGGGGTCATGCCTGGGGGCGGGCACTGGTGCCGCCAGCCCCTAATCTCTCTCTGCCCCTCCCCCCACTTGCATCTTCCTCTCCCTCCCTCGCCCCTCCCCAGCTCCCACCACAGCAGAGAGCCACCCTGCTGGGAACACAGCAAACCACCAAAACACCTGCCGCCTCCCCTCCCTCCGTGGCACCTTCCCTTCCCTGCTGCCCCGTGACTCCTCTCTGGCCCCCTCCCAGCCTCCCATCCCACTCATGGTCCCCGCTGAGCTAGTGACCCTCCCGGTCCCCACTAATTAAGTGGCTGCACCTTCCCCCTCCTTTTGCCTGAATGTGCACAGAGGGCGGGTCCCCGGGAAAACGGAGGCTTTTGGATTTGGGCGGGGGTGTAGAGGGCGACGGGGCTCACGAGAGAGACTATGAATCAAGTCCAAGAATCTTTATTTCCTGAACAAAACTACTCATGTGAAGAGAGAAGAGGCTGAATGGGCCTTTCTAAGTGGCCACAGTCCAAGGCTGGTGAGAAAGGGCAGGATTGGGCTGGGGCAAGAGTGCATCACAGGGAGAGGGGACCCCAGGTCCAGCCAGAGGAAGGAGGGGAAATGTCGCTGGGGGTCGGGTCGGAGTGGGTCCAGCACCCCCTGCCCCAGCCTGTGCCGGCCCATCACGAACCCCCCCACTGGGTGGAGGAGGGGGGGCAGGGAGGGGCTGGGCCCCAGTAGTGTGCATCTGAAGCGGCCGATGTGTGCAAATCAGCAAGAAGGAGGGGTGCGGAGCCGCTGCCCCCACCTCACCGCCCCCCCTCCTAAACAGGCAGCAGAAGCAGGGGTGGGGCCAGCGGCAGTATTGCTTTACCCATCATGCATGGCGTGGGTGGGCGATGGGGCAGGAGGAAGTGGGCTGGATTGGGGGCGTGAGCCAAGCCCCCTGCCCCCTCCCACCCTGGCAGCTCCGTTGGCAGGACTCTGAGGCTCATGGAGGCCCAGGGATGGCCAACCCGCCCTGGGGGCAGGCTGTGCCCAGATGTTCCCCATTAGGCTGGCTCTTCCTTGAGGTGGAGCCCAGGGCCTAAAGGTGAGGGAGAGACAGGTATCAGGGACCTAGTGGGCTGACACCCGCCCAGGCCCTCCAGCCCCTGCCCACCCACCTACCTTACCGGGGCTATTCGGCCACCTGGACACCCGTACAGTTCTCTTTGCTTTCTGAGGTGATGGCCAGGTATTCCGAGCTGGGGGGGCAAAGGCCAAGTGTAGAGTTACCCCCCTCATCAGTTTGGCCCACCCCCGGGAAACCGAGGAGGGTTGGGGTCTCTGCCCCAGGTGCACGGGGTTCCGGAGTTAGAGAGAGGTGGGGACTGCAGGCTGGACATCTAGGGATGGGGCCTGGAGTCCTGAGTCCGAGGGAGGAGGGGACCTCGGGGGGTCAGACTCTGGGTCCTGACCCTACCCATCCGTGACAACAGATGTACCCCTCTGGGAAGCCCGCGTGTCTGGGTCGCCTGACCCCCTCCCCACCAGTGCCACTCACGCATTCTCTTGTGCAGCGGCCTCCGTGGCCGCGGCGACCTTCTTGTAGCAGTAAACCATCTCTGCCACGAGCCATATGGTCAACACCACGATGAGCACATACATCATGATCTCCGACACGATGGACGCCATGTCTCTGTTGGCTGCAAGGGCCAGGCAGGGTCAGGTGGCAGTCAAGGCCAGGCTCGGGAGGCATGAGGTGCTCCCAGCTGGCGCTATGAGCTTGGCCAAGTGACCTGGGTTCCCTGGGCTCCCTGGGCCTGGGCTGCAAAGGGGACTATGCTGTTTCCCTAGCGTCATCGTTGTTACTGTGATCTTGTTTGTTTCTTTTAAAGTAGGCTCCCCACGCAGCATGGAGCCCAGCGCGGGGCTTGAACTCACGACCCTGCGATCAAGACCTGAGCTGAGATCAAGAGTGGGACGCTTGACCGACTGAGCCAGCCAGGCGCCCCGTCACTGTGATTCTTAATAACCAGCGTCCAATGGGCTTTGTGATCCCCCTCAACCTGCCCCCTTGGGTGGCCGGAGGGGGCATCTGTGTCATTCAGGAGGCTGCAGATGCCCGAGAGTTGCAGCTCTGCAACCAGAAGGCTCGGGTTCAGATCCCGACTCTGCCACTTGCCACCTGTGTAACCTTGGGCAAGTGGCTCACCCTCTCTGGGTTTGAGCTTCTCCATCTGTGAAAAGCTGATAATCACAATATCTCCTTCTTGGGAGTGTTGTACAAATGAAATATGCTTCAAAAATCCTTAGGATAGGGCTTGACATATAGGTAGCCCTCAACACCTGTTTACTATTATTAATTCTACTATTACTGTTATTGTTGGAGCAGTAGAGCATAGTAGTTCAGAGCAGGGGCTCTGGGAACCGGATTCAAATCCTGACTCTGCCTCTTATTAGCTGTGTGACTTTAGGCAAACGACTCCACCTCTCCAAGCCTCAACTCGTCCTCTGTAAACCGGCGGCGATAATCCTCATGCCTTCTCACAGGGTTGCTGGGAAGAGAAAGCAAGTTAATACCCGTAACAGACGTGGACGGGCTCGCAGTGGGCACCGCCTCAGTATATTGGCTCTTCACTGACATTTTCCGGAAGCCTTCTGTCCTTTCCGCGGCACTGGCCCTTGCCATTGCCAGCTTCCTTTCACTGAGCCTAAATTTAAACTGTGGAGGGGATGTGCTCAGCCAGGGAACCAGAGGCGAAGGCCGCTGTGACGTCCTCGGCCGGATTTCACAGGTGTCCGCCCCATACGCCCGGGCGTCTCCTTCCTGGTGGCCAGGACCTCATTTCCCCCACTGTCCTCACATGGTCTTTCCTCCCGTCAGTGGGTACTCTCTGCTGCTCCGCCCTGTGCAGATGGCACTGACGCTTTCTGGGCCAGAGTGAGGGAGGGCGGCAGGGCTGGATGTTTCTCCCCTGCTTCTGGGCCAAGAGGAGCTGGGGAGAGGGCTCCACGCGTCATTCGTTCATTCGAAAGATAGGAAGGCGTCTCATACGGTGAATGCCTGCTTTCAGCCAGGCTCTGTGCCAAGTTCTTTATGTGAGCGTCTCCCTGAGTCCCTGAAACGCCCCAAGGATAGAGAGAGTGCTGGCTTCCCACGTCAGCTGACCTCAGGAAGCACACTGAGGTGGATATATGTTGGAAAAAGCGCACATCTTCAGAATTCTCCTCCCTGCTCCTGGGACTCGGTGCTCAGATGGACTGAGGTAATCTGGTATCTCCTGCTCTCCCAGTCAGATGAGGACGGTGATCGACCGGCACGGCTCTGTAGCCCATTTTCCAGAGAAAGACACTGAGGCTCAGAAAGGGGACAGCGCTGGACAAGGATGCACAGCCAGGATTGGACTCGGAGCCAGGATTCAACCCCAAGTGTAACTGATGGCAGGCTCTGAGCTCTTCCCTGCTCTGGAAACTACCGCAGCCGAAGAAACACTTGGTAAAGGGCGCTGTATGTCAAATGCAGTCTCCACTAAGCCACACAGACATCTCAGGAGGTAGGACTGTCATTCCCCTACTTCACAGACGAGGAACTGAGGCAGAGGGGTCATGCAGAGGGTAACAGGCCCCTTCTCTGGGGAGAACTTTGATTTCTTCAAAAGCCCCCAAATCTTCTAAAAGCTGGCAGCCCCCCAGATCTGAAGCTCCAGCCTGCCCCCCTGCAGACTGGATTTCTCACTAGCCTCAGATGCTGCTTCCCCTTAAGACGTTCTCCACCCATACCGGCCATAGCCGAGATAGAAGTAGCCCTCTTGTCCTCATTTGCCGGCTCCCCACTCGTGCTAGGGGACCCCCAGGTGCTTCTACCATCTTCCACAGCTCTGCTATCTCAGGAAAGTTCTCACCACCAACACCCACTGGCCCTCCTTTGGAAATGACTCCATTCATTCCTTGGGGTATTACCAGGAGGCATTCTAGGCTGATGGGTAATGCTGAGAATGCAGTAAGATAGTGGATTATAAAAAAAAAAAAAAAAAAAAAGAATACGGTATGGCCGGCAATGCGAACAGTACAGTAATAACCACGGGTAATCAGAGAAATACTGTGGTGTGATGAGTTATGTTAAAAATACTACAGTATGCTGGCTGATGATGAATACAGTTGAACAAGTAAAACTTTAAAAAACTACAATATGATTAATCTAAAATACTATAGCATGGTGGGTAGTGTTACAAATACTCTAGTATGATGGACTACGATAAAAATACTGTTGTATTTTTGGTAATGTTAAATAGTATAGTATATAGTAATATAAAATACCGTACTATGGTGATTAAAAAAAAAAAAAAACCCACTAGAGTATGTTGGATACTCCCGTAGACTCTGGGAAGACAAAATAAAGAGCTGTGCCTGCCTTTGGTAAATGTGAAGAACACAGGCTCTGGGAGGTAGTAGAATATGGTAGATCGTGCTCGCGCCCCAGCCTCCGTCCCGCAGATGAGGACAGCATTCCGAGCAAGGGCCAAACCACAAGAGCCACGGGACGGAGGGAACCTGGGAACCTCCCAGCTCTCCTGACCCCCTCGCCTCGGAACTAAGTCGGGAGACAGGATTGACACAGATTTTGTGAAACCTCGGTATTTGGGGGCGTTTCTTGTTACAGCCACTCCCAGGGGGCGGGGCTCCGTCTTCTACATCCGTGGGTGGCCGCCCACCCAGCATCGTGACCTACGCCAAAGAGGAGCTCACACATGTCTCCTGCACTGAATCCTGCTGGTTCACTTTGATAACAAACGTAAAAATGCTAATTATCAAAAGAAACCCACAGGCTCTGGCTGACGGCAGAGTGTAGTGAATCACACCAAGAACAGAAACGGCAGTCACACGTGCTTGGCTGGGTTCAAATCTAGGTCCCAGCTCTGCGATCTCGGCCACGTGATCTTACCTCCCTGAGCCTGGGTTTCCCCACCTGTAAAGTGGGGCCAGTAGCGGCCCCTAGCCAGGAGGGTGGGTGGGGAGGTTCAATGAGGGTCTGCACCCCTCTTGGGGAAAGGAAGGACAATGCACGGTGCTTGATAATGCGCGTGCGCTGTGAGCCCCATGGGCCGTATTTGCCATGGCTCTTTGGTGGCTCAGGTTCTGGGATGGTGTCCTGACTCTAAGCCAATGGGCCCTCGGGCCCTGGAAAATTCCAGTTTACACCCATCGGAAGATGTTTCAGAGAAGGGATCCAAGGCAGCTGGAGCCAAAATGATGACATGTCCCCAAACGCCTTAGATGCTTGCTGTTCCGTGAGGCCCCACACCGGCAGCATTGGCTTCGCTGAGAGCCTGTTAGAAATGCGGCCGGGGCCCCACCCCGGGTCTGCTGAGTCAGGGTCTGCACCTTAGCAAGACTCCCAGGATGCTCACGAGCACAGTGCAATTTGAGGAGCTCTGCTCTAGGGGACGCACTCTTGTGTCTTCCGCCGGGGTGACCAAGGGAGGAGGGGCTGAGACCACCGGACAGTCGGCACCTCCACTGTCATCCCCACTACGTGGGCAGCCGACACCCAGCCCGCCGCTGGGTCCTCACACAGCCCTGAGAGGTGGATACCATTATCATCCTGTTTCCCACGGCACAGCCCGTCCTCAGAGACAGGAAGGCCCCTGCAGGACGTCCCACAGCACACGTGGCAGAATTCTGCACCCAGAACTTTCAGGGGAGAGGTCTGCTGGGGCCTCGCCGCAGGTTGAAAGGAAAGGAAACCCAGAGCTGGGGCTGGAGAAGGAGGTGCGGCTCCCCCTGCTGCCGTGGGCGTTTGCCTGGCCCAGGCGAGGAGCCAGCCTGTCCCCTACCTGCCATCTGTCCCACCATCTGGCTGCCGGTGGGCAACAGGGGTGAGCGGGCAGGCAGGGCCAGACTCACCTTTGTCCACCACCTCAAGGTGGATCTTTTTGACGACGCTGGTGTTGTGCTCATAGTTCTCAAAGAAGAGCAGGCGGTAGACGTGGCACTCATAGTCGCCGGAGTGGTTGTAGGTGACGTTGGTGATGAAGATAGACAGGTCCTGCAGGTCCTTGGTGCCCCGGCTGCCGTTCCACACCACGCGACCCTCGAAACGCTCATCTTCCTCCAGCTGCAGCACCTCGTTCTCATAGCGCAGGATCTGGGGGGCAGCCGGGCAGGTCACCGCCTGTGCCTGTTCCCCCCCCCCCCCCCACCCTCGTCCAGACTATTCTGTCCCTTGCCCTGACACTCAGAGAGACAGCAGACACACGTGGGCACCATGACCTCAGGCAGGGAGGGCACGGGGGGCAAGGGCCCCCAGCCCTGACTACGCCCCTGGCCCATGCACACACGCACGCTCACACACATATTCCTCAGGCACCCCTCCACCCTGCACCCCGAGCCCCCATTCAGCCTTCCTGGCTTTCATTCTCACCAGGCACGCTCCTCAGCCAGGGACAGAGGAGTCCAGTCTCAGCCACGGCAGACCCCAATGCTCCGGGAGGCCCTACGAGTTTATGGTGCCCCCTCATGTGTAGTTCAAAATACATATAACGTACAGGAGGGCAGGAAAGTGCTGCTTTTCTTCCATGATGACTACCTCAGACATCCTTGCTGCTACTAAATCTTTGTGCCAACCGCGTGCTAGGGGCAACTGCTGGATCACCCCTCACCCAAGCCTACGAGCTAGAGACTGCCGCCACCCCATCTTTAGAGAGGAGCAAACTGAGGCTCAGAGAGGCCCAGTGCCTTGCCCAAGGTCACCAGCTGGTCAGGGGTGGAACTGGAATCTGAATCCAGGTCATCACGAATAGCACATTATCGGAAACAAAGGGACAACCCCTCCCGCGGGCTGCCTGCCACGGCGTCCCACACAGGAGCCCGCGGCCCCGCACCTGTGCCGGGCGCCCCCCCCCACCTTGACAAACTCCTCCGTCCCCTTCTGGCGGAAGGTCCACTCTGTGAAGGTCTCGGCGGTGGTCTCGCTGCGGCGCTTGCAGGAGATGCACAGAATTTTGAAGGTCATCCCGAATACGGCTTCGGTCTCTGAGTCCACCTCCACGCAGCCCCCGCAGGCTGAGGACACTGCAGGGACAGCAGGCTCAGGTGGAGCAGGGGCGCCCAGCACCCCGGGCAATGCCAGGCTTCCTGGCCGTTGGCTCTCGGGCCTCTCAGAAACCATCTGTTTCCCCTCGACAATGGTTACGAACGGACAGAACCAGACGTTCAGCCTGCCCCTGCCACTTGCTGTGTGCCCTTGGCAAGTCCCTCCTCACCTCTGGCCTCAGTTTCCCTCTGTGAGGTGAGGGAAATGGTCATCTCTGCTTCGAGGGGTTGCTGGGCAGATTCCACAAGTGAGGTAAGGCCCCAGCAGGGGGCCTGCCACTCAGGAAGCCCCTCCCCCCCAAACAACATCGGGCTGTCACTGTGGGCAGTCACTCAGAGTCTTTGCTCTGTACCCAAGTAGATACCCATGTACCCCTTCTTAAGCAGTCCCCTTGCCCATGGTACTGCAGCATTTAGGTGCTGGGACTCGAATTCCAGATGTGTTAGAACTTCAATGTGGCGGAGTCATTTCCCCCCGCGACTGCTCTGCAAAACCAGCCAGCCCCAGAGAATGGGTTGGGAGAAGGCAAGACCTCAGAGGGGCGGGTGGGCGCTGGAACCAGGGCAGCCCCACACTCCAGCCCAGCTCTCTGGTCACCCACCCTCTACCCAGCTTCTCTGGCCCCTGTCCCCTCTGTCCCCAGGCTCCTCAGCTCCAGACCCGTCTCCCAGCTCTTATCAGCTTCTTGAAACTCACTGAGCTCTTTGCAGCCTCAGGGACTTTGCACCCCCGCTGGATTCCAGTCCCCTTGAGCGCCTCCTCCATATTCTTACCTGCCACCCCCTTCCCAAGGCCCAGCGCTCACCAGCTAATGCTGCGCCTCTCCGGCTCCAGCTCTGGGGCTGTTTCCTTGTCCCTGAGTCTCTCCCTCTCTGAATCTTGGGAACTCCGTGTCCTCCTCCGCTGCTCTCTCTTTCTAACTCCTTGAGCACCTCTGTGACTGTCTCCCCTACTTTATATCTTAGGGAGTCTCTCTGAAGGGTCCACCACTTTGTGTCCTCTTTCCAGGCTCAGATGGCCTCTCTCCCCCTTTCCCTGTTCCTTTTAAACTCCACCTCTCCCAGTGTCTACCATCTCTCCTGCCTCTCTCAAGTTTGTCTCTCCAGCGCTCCGATTTCTAACTCGCTTCTCGGCCTCTCTCTGGCATCCTCTACAACCCTCTCCGTCTCCTTCCTCCCGGTTACTCCCGATCCCCAGTCTCCGCGGAGCACTCCGGAGTACTCCGAGTCGCCGCGCCTCTCGCGCCTTCCCTTGCGTCCCCATCTCTCCCTGTCTCTCGGTCTCCCCTGTCCCAGTCTCCGGGCGCCGCCTTCCCTCC